GGCATTCCAGAGCCTTTCATCATCTGACACTGTCCTATCTTTATAGCTTTGCTTTCTGCAGCTAGTCCCGACATGTTCACACATTTTATATTCCAGCCACTAGTCACTGTGCATCCTGGGCCTCTGTCCTGACTGGTTCTTCTCTCTCTCTCTCTCTCTCTCTGTTTGAGAATTCTAATTACTATTAAAGACAAAAATAGGTGCTGGGAGCCGGGTGCTGGTAGCTCACGCCTGTAATCCTAGCTACTCAGGAGGCTAAGATCTGAGGATCGCGGTTCGAAGCCGGCCCGGGCAGGAGAGACCGTGAGACTCCTATCTCCAATAAACCACCAGAAAACTGGAAGTGACGCTGTAGCTCAAGTGGTAGAGCGCTCGCCTTGAGCTGAAGAGCTGAGGGACAGCTCCCAGGCCCAGAGTTCAAGCCCCACGACCGACCAGAAAAAAAAAAATAGGTGCTGGGCACTGGTGGTTCATGCCTGTAATCCTAGCTACTCAGGAGGCTGAGATCTAAAGATCATAGTTCAAAGACAGCCTAGGCAGGAAAGTCCCTAAGTCCTTTATCTCCAATTAACTACCAGAAAACCCCTCATAGAACAGAAGTAGAGCTGTGGCTCCAGTAGTAGAGTGCTAGCTTTGAGCAAAATAATTTTCAGAGACAGTGTCCAGGCTCTAAGTTCAAGTCCTAGTACTGGCATGCGCGCGTGCACGTGCACACACATGCACACACACACACACACACACACACACACACACACACGCAAAGGGCTGGGCTGGGGCATAAAACAATGGTATACAGTACTTTGCCTGGCATGCACTAGGCCTTGTATTGGATCCCTAGTGCAGCCTAAAAACATGATGTTATATACCAAATGTTACATATTATATATAATATATAGAATATCATTTAAAATAAAATAATTTGCCCAAGTTAACTTAGCTAGAGCAGTAATTGGTGCAGGATTTGAACTTATCTCTGACATCAAAGCTTATGATCTCACAGTATTGAGAAGGTTTTCTCTGACTCCTCACAATATTTTTCTTTGTGTTCCAAAACTTTTGGAACTTTTGTTTTTAAGTTCACAACATAGAAGTTATTGTATTATGGAGGTTAAAGAAACAGACTCTGAAGCTGGATTTCTGGAGTTAGCCAGCTATGTGAGCTTTTCTTTTCTTTTTTTTTTTTCTCTCTCTCTTTTTTTTTTTTTGCCAGTTGTGGGGCTTGAACTCTGGGCCTGGGCGCTGTCCCTCAGCTCTTCAGTTCAAGGCTAGCGCTCTACCACTTGATCCACAGCACCACTTCTGGCTTTTTTTTGTGTGCTTATATGGTGCTGAGGAATCGAACCCAGGGCCTCAGGCATGCAAGGCAAGCACTCTACCACTGAACCACCTTCTCAGCCCCTATGTGAATTTTTCTCTATCATTTCACTTTCTTTTTCTTTGTCTCATTCTTCCTTTCCCCCCCCTCTTTTTCTTTCTATCTTCCTCCCCCCCCCTTTCTCTTTGAAATGGCAACAGTTATGCCTGTCTTTTAGGATTAAAGGGCTCTACCAAGTTCAGCCAAGTGTATGTTATGTAGCCCTGGCCCCACTGAAACACTATGGTCTTTGTTATGTCTATGTATCTGTGTACCCTTGCTAAATTTTGGCTTCTGAGAAGGGTAAGATCTTCATTCATCTTCCAATTCTCTGGCACCCAGCATACCAGACCTTTCACTGGCTTCTATGCTCCATAAACATTTGTCAAATTAAGTTTATAAATTGGGGGGGGGAAGTGTTTGTGCAATATAATGAGACATTTACAAGCGTATGATCCTTGCTGTGCTTTAATTACCTATGAATCTTTTTTTAAAGAAAGTGATTATTCAATCTGGCTAGCCATCTAATAGCTTCTGTGTCTCCCTCCCCCTCGCCTCCCCCCCCACTTTTAAATTAAAAAACAGCGAAACTTGCCTTTCTGCTTCTGGGAACAGGAAGCCTTTTAACCTTCTAGCCTTTCCCGAGATCTCTCCTTTTAGAGCCAAGACTTTCCTGGGGCAGAGGGTGTGGAGCAGGAAGGGGACACCTGTCACAAGGTCCCAGACTTCTTGGACACAGATGAAGGTACTCAGCTGTAGATAAACACAAAGGCAGCCCTCTGTCCTGCTGTTCCCCTCCGGTGAGCAGTGACCTGGTCTAGAGATTTGGGTTTCACTTCCAAACACAGGCACAGTGTACCTGCTAAGGAAGAAGGCTCCAATTCCAAAAGGGGACTCAAAAGCACTGTGGGAGGCCTAAATTCCTGGGAGAGTGCTGGCTTAAGTTACTTCCCATTATTCCACTGCTCTGCTGCTTGTTTGTTTATATTTCAGCCTTGGTCTTACTAGGAGAGGCTGTGGGAGTGAGGGGCAGGAAAAGGATGCAAAGGACAGTGAAAATGGCAGAGAAGGAAATAACTGATTGGAGGTTAATATGTCCCCTGAGGCTCCTTTGATTTGAATTATTGTGAAACTGCAGTGTAATGTTTAAGTACTGGGGGGTGGAGGGAGGGAGGGCCCATGGCTCTTCACAGAAATGGGGCTTTGTTACTGGTAAGTTGCAGCTGCTGTGTGTAATGCAGACTCAACCAAATGGAGCACTGATCCTGTCACCTGACTGGAGAACTGTGTTTGTTCTCACAGCAGAGCTCCTGCTCATCATTACCACCTAACAACCTGGCCTATACCTCAACTAACACTTGCTGGCTCATTAGGTTATGACGTGGAGCTAGCCTACTATCTACCCTCTCTTGGTCATTAGGTCCTGTTCACTGTCCCTCCTAAAAATCACCTGAATCCATATCTTTCATCTTCACAGACACTGCCCTGGTCAGGGTTTCTTAGATAATACTTCCTGATAGGTCATCCACAGCCTCATCTTAGGTTCCCATTGGTCCTCCAAGCTACTGACAGAGACTTCTCTAAACTAGATTAGAATCCACCTGTGACTCTCCATGGCTTGTGCAATCAAGCATATCCACCAAATCCTAGCTTAAAATGTTTGCCTGGTATCTTGACACCTCCACATCTGTGGTTTCCTTCACATCAGGAATCCTGACCTAAAAGAAATTCCAGAGCATGCTCTTCAACTGGGACTGTAATTCTAGCTATTCAGGAGGCTGAAATCTGAGGATCGCAGTTGAAAGACAGTTGGTGCAGGAAAGTCTGTGACACTCTTATCTCCAATCAACCACCAGAAAACCAGAAGTGCTGCTGTTGGCTCAAAGTGGTAGAGTGCTAGTCTTGAATGTAAAAGCTCAGGGACAATGCCCAGCCCCTGAGTTCAAGCCCCACTACTGACAAATTAAAAAAGAAAAAGAAAAAAAAAACCCGAGCAAAAAACAACTTGATAACCTGTGCTTGCTCTTCCTTTTGCCTACAATCCCTCCTTTCCCTAATTTTAGCTTCTTTTCAACTTTCCTACTCCTCAGATTGAATGGGGTTTCCCATGCCCTCATGTTTGTATTGTCACAAAGTACACTAAATCTCTAATTTAGCAGAGAGAATTGCTTCTCAGTACCCGGCGTTCATGTATAGTAATTGCTCAATAAATGTTTGATAAAACCGGATTCCAGTGGCTCATGCTTGGAATCCTAGCTACTCAGGAGGCTGAGAACTGAGGATTACAGTTTGAAACAAGCTGGGCAGGAAAATCTGTGAGACTCTTATCTTCAATTAACCACCAAAAGACCAAAAGGAGAGCTGTGGCTCAAGTGGTAGAATGCTAACCTTGAGCACAAAAGCTCCGGGACAGCAGCCAGACTCTTAATTTCAAGCTCCAGGATGATAAATATTTGATCATGAATGAACCCTTTTAATATTAGGATTTAGTTATAGTTCAGGGAGGAGGTCTTGAAATATCTGGTTCTGAAAGAGGAAAATTCAAGTCATTGCAATTATGTTGCTAGATGAGTACTTTCACATTGGATGACAGAACTGTCATATCTGGTGTTTCTTAGAACTACAGCAATTAAAGGCTACTTTAAAGGTTACTTTAAAAGTCCTCTTTTCTAGACCTGATGAAACATTACAGTTTCCAGCTTGTTCCAACAGTGACTTCAGAAATTATATTTGGCAAGCAAGTTAGTTCCAGAAATGTCAAACTTGCTGCTTAAAAACATGTCATCCCAACACGATGGTTATGTGTATATGTTGTATGTATAGTAGATATTATATATACACACATATACCCATATATATATATATATTCTCACACATATGCATGTAGCTCTGTGTATGTATAAAACACTCAGAAGTGGCTACACAGCTGAACTTGTGGATGGAAGGAAACCTGCTTAAGGACTGGGTCTTAGCTATACCCTGGAGTGACTCCAAAGAAATGGTAACATTAACACATAGAGACTCTAATAAGCTCCACGGGAAGTCAAAAAATGGAGCGCACTGCTCGGAATACTCCAGCAGTCCTATCCTTTCCAATCGCACACAGTCAGCTGGGCTCAAATCGCGGTGAGACACATCCCGAGCTGGCAAAGGCCATTGGACTAAGGCGTTCTTAGATTCTTCATACGTAGAACCGTTAGAACCTATTGATGCTTTTTGAATCATTCTCTGGAACCTTTTGATTCTTCCAGTTCTCAGCTCTAAGCCTTAAAGCGCCACGCAGAAAAGCTGCTACAAAGATAGGGAGGTGGCTAGGCAAGAGTGCTCAGAGAAAAGGGGGAACAATTTAAGGAGAGAAGCCATAAGGAAGAGACCAAGAGAGTCTCTTTCGGGGAAGAGAGGAAGGAGGGGAATCACACAGCAAAGGAAGGGAAAGTGATCAAACCAGTCCAGGACCAGAGAAGGAAAGGCACGCCCCGGGGGGGAGGGGAAAGGGGGGGGGGACAAAATCGACTGCTTTAAGGATATCCCCGCCCCGTGTGGTGACGTAGGATCAAGGCCATCCATGATTGGCTACGGCTGGAGGGCGGGATGGGGTTGCTAGGAGCGGAGGGGATCCGGCGGGCCTCGGCCGCCGGGAGCGCGGAGCCGAGGGAGCGGAGCCGTGGAAGCGGCTCTGCTGGAAGATGGCGAGCTGCTGGGACGCGCGGCCGCCCTGGCGGCCAGGGCGCCTGTCTCTGTGCCTGCTGCTGCTGCCGCCGTTGCTGCTGCTAAGCACGGTCCGGGGGGCGCACATCAAGAAGGCGGAGGCGACGACGACGACGACGGGCGCGGGCGCTGAGGCGGCCGAGGGCCAGTTTGACCGCTACTACCACGATGAGGAGCTGGGCAAGGCGCTGAGGGAGGCGGCGGCCGCGGGGCCGCCCGGCCTGGCGCGCCTCTTCAGCATCGGCCGCTCGGTGGAGGGCCGGCCGCTGTGGGTGCTGCGCCTGACGGCGGGCCTGGGACAGCCAGCTCCTGCCGGGGACGCGGGGCCGGACGCAGCGGGACTGGACGCCGCGGGGCCGCTGCTGCCCGGCCGGCCGCAGGTGAAGCTAGTGGGCAACATGCACGGCGACGAGACCGTGTCGCGCCAGGTGCTGGTCTACCTGGCCCGGGAGCTGGCGTCGGGCTACCGCCGCGGAGACCCGCGCCTCGTCCGCCTGCTCAACACCACCGACGTGTACTTGCTGCCCAGCCTCAACCCCGATGGTTTTGAGCGCGCTCGCGAAGGCGACTGCGGCCTCAGCGACGGCGGCAGCCAGACCGGGGTCAGCGGCCGCGACAACAGCCGTGGCCGCGACCTCAACCGCAGCTTCCCCGATCAGTTCAGCACCGGTGAAACCCCAACCCTGGACGACGTACCCGAGGTGCGCGCCCTCATCGACTGGATCGGCAGGAACAAGTGAGTGTCGCCTTGTCCCCGGTTACCGCCGCCGCAAGGGCAAGAGGCCGGCTCCGACGCACAGTAGGTGCTCAAGCCGTGCCTGTCAGTCTGAGGGATGGGCAGAATGAAGGTAGCCCAGAGACCATGGCCTGGGTGGCGTTGCCTTCTCCTCGGGCTAATAGTCAACAAGCATTGCCCAGAGGGGCTGTCATTTGTTCAGGACATGGCCGGAGGGGAGATCTTTCTAGCATTCTTGTCCCTATCTTTGAAGGATCAAGTATGTGAGGGATGGATGGGACTTTGAGGATCTGTTAGGTCTTGCTCACTCATTTTATAGGTAGCTGTCAATATGGTTATTACTAGAGGCACTCTGCTAAACACTTTCCGTGACTGCATTATCTCCTTTGAGGGTGGCCACAAACGGATGACATTCACATCTTGGTTTTGCATAGGGGAAATTGAGGTTCAGACTGGTTACCTAATTTATATGGTGAGGAGAGTAGCTAGCACTTGACTTGGTGGTTCAATTCCTTGTAACTGCTCTTAAAAGACGGGGGGGAAAGATTACAAACCAGAAATGCAAATGACACACCCCACCAGGGTGTTCCTCTTGATGTTTGACAGGAACTGGTTCTCTTCCAGCCTTTGCTTTGACTCTGTTGCGGTGCATATAGACTTAACTCAAGAACTTGCCCAGACGTGAGAGCCACTTCATTTCTGATGTCAATTGTGCATCTTATTATTAGGCTTGGGCAGAGTAAGTGACTGCCACACATAAACCACACCCTGAGTTCTAAAAATTGAAAAAAAAAAAGAAGCATGAGGATTTTTTTGTTGTGGGTGGTCCTGGGGCTTGAACTCTGGGCGCTGTCCCTCAGCTCTTCAGCTCAAGGCTAGTGCTCTACCACTTGGGCTACAGCGCCACTTCCAGTTTTCTGGTGGTTTATTGGAGATACGAATTTCACGGATTTTCTTGCCCTGGCTGGCTTTGAACCTCGATCCTTAGATCACAGCCTCCTGAGTAGCTAGGATTACAGGTGTGAGCCACAGGCACCTGGCAACAGTAGTTATCTTAACATCTTGAAGATTTTTTGAGTAGCAGGGAAGATAAAGGTAATAATGAACAAAGAAGTTTCTCTAAGGAACATGGAATCATTTCTTCCATTAGACTTTATTCATAAATATAAGATCTACAAAATCCATGGGCCATTGTGACACTTCTAGATTGTTTTTGTCTTCTACCTTCCATTTTACTACTCTTTAGGACTTTTCTGAACTGATCTATCAACCACATGGTTTCCATAACTTGTGTTTGGTTTTCCGTTTTTGCTGCGGGGTGGGGGGGCTGTGTACTCGGGTTTGAACTTAGGGCTTTGTGTTTTCTAGGTAGATGCTCTACCACTTGAACTACTCCTGCAGACCTGCATTTTGTGTTTAAAATGCCAATCGCAACCTCTGCAGCAATTTTTCTCTTCAGTATTAGTTATGCTGTGGCTAAAAAAGGAGAAAATTTTGGTGTAAATCACTTACGGGAGGCCTTAAATTTAAATCTGGAATCAAAAATTCACTGTCTGCTTTATTCCCTCATATCACTATCACTTAGTAATGATGAATTATGCTCTGGTCTTAATTCAGTGATAGGAACTTGTGAAGATTTTCAAAGTTCATGTAGGTCAGTTGGTATTGCCTAGAGAGTTGTTTTGTTTTGTGGTAATGGGTAACCTAATAATACCCAAGCACTTTTTCAGGTACATTCTAAAAAAAAAAAAAAAAAAAAAAAGCAGGTAATTTATATAGGTGAAGAGTGCATCCATCCATACCCTCAACATGGATTCTCTAGTGATTAATAACAAAGGATACTGTTTTGTAAATAAAATTAAGTGCACAGTACACACACAGTTTGAGATTGATGTCTAAGTAATAATTATGGATGGAATATTAAAAACAAGGCTAAGTCGGGCACTGGTAGCTCATGCCTATAATCTACTCAGGAAGCTGAGATCTAAGGATCACAGGTAAAAGCCAGCTCAGGCAGGAAAATCTGTGAGACTCTTCTCCAACTAACCACCAGAAAACTGGAAGTGGAGCTGTGGCTCAAAGTGGTAAAGTGCTTGCCTTGAGCAAAAGAGCTGAGGAAATGTGCCTAGGCCCTGAGTTCAAATCCTATAACCCACAAAATAACACAAAACAACAAAAACAATCCTACAACAAACAAAATAAAACTCCCAAACATTTAGTCCAATGAGAAAACTGACTTTATAGTATATTCTGTAAAGAAAATCATTTGAGTAAATTTCTTTTTTTTTTATTGTAACGTACTGTACAGAGGGGTTACAATTACATGGGCAAGATAATGAGTACATTTCTTATCAAGCATTGCAGCCTCCTCCTTTGTTTACCCTTCACATCCCTTCTGAGCCTCCCCCTGCCCCCAGTAAATTTCTTTTTGAAATTGTTCTTTTTGGTCTGGGAAGGTGGCTCAGTGGTAGAGTGCTTGCCTTGCATGCCCGAGGCCCTGGGTTCAATTCCTCAGCACCAAATAAGCAAAAAGAAAAAAGCTGGAAGTGGAGTTGTGGCTCAAGTGGTAGAGCACTAGCCTTGAGCTGAAGAGCTGAGGGACAGTGCCCAAGCCCAGAGTTCAGACCCCACAACTGGACCCCCCCCCAAAAAAAACCAAACAAAAAACAGAAACTTTTCTTTTTATTTTGGGTATTTTGACACAGGGTCTCATTTTGTAGCCATGGTTGGCCTGGAACTTGCTACCAGGCTTAGGCTGGCTATAAACACAACATTCTCCTGCCTCTGTCTCCTAAGGGCTGAGATTATAGGTGTGTAACACTACACTCAACTTCAGTAATTTGTGTGTGTGTGTGTGTGTGTGTGCACGCGCGCGCTGGTCCTAGGGCTTGAAATGAGGGCCTGGACCCTGTCCCTGAGCTTATTTTGCTCAAAATTAGTACTCTACCACTTGCGTCACAGTTCTACTTCTGCTGTTTTGATAGTAAAATTGGCAATTAAGAGGCTTCCAACATCCTCAGATCTTAGCCTCCTTGAGTAGCTACTGCTGCAGATGTAAACCGCCAGCACCTGGCAATAATTTCTTAATATCTTACTCACCAGACTATGTACTAAAAATGAATTTTTGCTTGGTATGCACCAGACTCTGTGTTCCATACCTAGCATTGAAAAGAAAAAAATAGATTTTTGTTACTTCAAATATGTACGCTTCTAAGATTTATAGCCCCTGACTTTTCCAGTCAAACTGGCAGGCACTCTACCCCTAACCTACACCCCTATTTCCAATCTTTTGGTATATTTATGATGAGTATTATAGTGTTGGAGGTGTGTAAGATTTTTTTTTTGAGATCTAGTATATGTCTACAATTTTCTGAATCTTTGTAATTTTTAGCCATTCTTAATTTTTTAAGTTATCTACAGAGTATTCTAGGAAACATGATAGAGTAAGGAAGATCTTGGGCTAGAGGCATGGCTCAAGTGGTAGAGCACCTGCCTAACAAGTGTAAATCCCCCTGTCTCCTGAGTAAGAATATGGAATATTAGTTATACTAAGGAAGGTTTTTTTATTTTTTATCAGTCAGGGGTCTTGAACTCAGGGTGTGGGCACTGTCTCTAGGCTTTTCTGCTCAAGGCTGGTGGTTCTACCACTTTGAGCCAAAGCTCCACTTCCAGTTTCCTAGTGGTTAATTGGAGATAAGAGTCTCATGAACTTTCCTGCCTGGGCTGGTTTTGAGCCACGATCCTTGGATCTCAGCTTCCTGAGTAGTTAGAATTACATGCATGAGCCACCAGTACCCAGCAAATAAGAAAGATTTAATTGAACTCTACCACCAAATCAATAGTAGACTGCAAATAATTCACCAATCTGAAAAATATTTGCTCAGAACATTTTAATATTTCTAGGGTGGCATTATAAGAAATGTTGATCAAAATTAAAAACAATATTTAGTAGAAAATCTTGGATTTTGAAGTTAAAAGCAATATAAAAGTAGTCTGCTTCATCTAGAATATTCAGGGCTTTTTTTGTTGCTGTTGTCATTGTTCATAATGTATTCTTAGAATCTAGAACAGTGAACAGCACATAGTTGATATTAAAAAAATAGATATTGCTTGGGCTGGGAAGGTGGCTCAGTGGTAGAGCGCTTACCTTGCATGCACGAGGCCCTGGGTTCAATTCCTCAGCACCACATAAGCAAAAAGAAAAAAGCCGGAAGTGGCGCTGTGGCTCAAGTGGTAGAGCGCTAGCCTTGAGCTTAAGAGCTGAGGGACAGTGCCCAGGCCCAGGGTTCAGGTCCCACGACTGGACCCCCCCCCCAAAAAAAAAATAGATATTGCTAAATGGAGTACCTGAACTTGGATCAGCCTTTTTGAAGCTTTCCCAAAGTCAGTGACACAAAAGGTACTTGAATTATTTTAAAACACAAACCAGACAGTAAATTGTTAATAGCTGAACTATGGGGGAGAGGTGGGTAGAGTTAGGAAGTTAGAAAGGGTATGTTGTGATTATTTCTGTGTCATTCTATCCATGTAGTTCTATCGCCTAAGAATGGGCAGCGGGTGTAGGAAATAGGATGACAGTGGGTATGGCCATGATTCCCTAGCATCCTGCTAGAGAAATGAACATTTGTTGAGAAGGAGCTATAAAGTAGTCATTGTGCCCGAAGGTGTTTCTTATATGTTATCTTAGTTTTTATAGCAAGTCTGGGAAACAGTCACATTAATCCCCATTTTACAGAGGGGAGAGAAACTGGAGTTTATTGAGTTTGGAGGCAATAACTTCTGATCTTGGTACTGTTGAGACACAGTTTTGGGAGACTGAATGTTCTCACCCATATTTTCCAGGCTTCAAGCACATACTATTGCCACTATACCAAATGGTATTCTCTGGTGTCCAGAAAGGTGTTAACTATAATTGTTTTAATTTTCAACAACAGTCATCATTGGCTAATTCTTCCTTGTGATGAAGTCTATATTATAAGTAATTTTCATTGTTTGATCTCCTTTGGGCTGGTGCTGATTATGATGCTTAAAATAACATTTTGAATTAAGCATATGATTGATTTAATTTTCTTTCAAACATATAGAATGAAATACTACTTATCAATCCCCTTTAGAATTTTTGAGTTACTTTCAACCACAGAAGCTAGGCAGATGGAAGGAAAACTAGAATATAAAGAGAAAAGTATTTAATCTCTACTTTCACTAATACATTGAACTGTTATGTAAAGGAAAGATGCATAAATAGAATGTATGTTTTTTTTACTACAAAAGGAATCCTTCCATATATCTACATTTACAAATTTGATCACATTATAAATTATTCACTTACAAGTAGAAACAGCTGAGCAACAATGGCTACATCTATAATTCTAGCTACTCAGGAGTGAAGAGCATAGTTCAAAGGCAGCCCAGGCATGAAAATCCATGAGATTCTTATTTCCAATTAACCACCAAAAAAACCGGAAGTGGAGCTGGGGATCAAGTTATAGAGCAGTAGCTCAGAAACAGCAAGGACTGTCAAAAAAAAAAAAAGTATAGATCTGGGGTATAGCTCAGTGGTAGCTACTGTGGGTAGCATGCAAGAGGCTTTGAGTCTGATTCCCAGTACATATGCATGCACATATATGGTCAGGTAAATATCATTTTGTTGGTACTTTGATTTGAACTGGGTCTTGTACTTATTAGACAGTCACTTTACCACTTGAGCCAGCCCTAGCTACATCTTTAATGCTAAAAAGTTCTTAAAATTCCTTGTGGTTAATTTGAAATGTAAAGATGCTTGATTTTTTTCCGTTATTAGGAATTGAACCAAGAGCTTGTTTTCTTTTTTTGTTGCTATTGGTATTAGTTAACTTGTAACAGTCGATAGAATTGTCTTCTAGGTCTGTAAGAGAGATATTTGAATTCATGTATGGGAATAGAGGCTTGAACTCGGTGGTAGAGCACTTGCCTAGCCTTGTGCCAGACCCTGGGCTTCACCCCAGCACTAAAGAAAAAGAAATAAAGATGATCTCATTTATGAAAGGTGGTGTAGAATTTTTAATACCCAATTTTAAGTACTTGATATTAAAATACGTCATTTGATTGTGTTTTCAAAGGTTTGTGCTTTCTGGAAACCTGCATGGTGGCTCCGTGGTAGCAAGCTATCCTTTTGATGATTCACCAGAACATAAGGCCACTGGAGTCTACAGCAAAACCTCAGATGATGAAGTCTTTAAGTACTTAGCAAAGGCTTATGCTTCAAACCACCCCATAATGAAAACTGGCGAGCCTCATTGCCCAGGAGATGAAGACGAAACTTTCAAAGATGGGATCACAAATGGTGCACATTGGTATGATGTGGAAGGTATGCAAAGCACTAAATTAGCTATACTTTCCTCCTTATCTTTTGAAAATTTCAAGCCTACAGTAAAATGAAATAAGATTAAACACTTATGTATCCATTATTTAAATTTCCTCATTGTTAGCGTACCACATACTCCTCACATCCATATACATCTATACCTCCTCCTAAACCATACACAAAATGTTTTGCCAAATTGTTCAAAATAGGCTGTAGATTTCATGACACTTTACCTTTAAGTTCCTTAACATATATTTCTAAGTACAAGGACATTCTTCAGTATAACCATATACAAATATCATAACTGAGGAATCAACAGTAATTCAGTACTACCATCCATCCATCTACCCACCAATCCATCCATCCATCCATCCATCCATTCATCATAGCTAGCTAGCTATCTGCCTGCTGTAACTCACATTTCCCCTCTTTTCTCAAAACATCCTTTGTAACTCCTTTTCTTCAAATCTAGGATCCAGGCATTGTAATTTGACTCTGTTAAGAGTACAGACTAGTTGTCCTATGAAACATTCCATATTGTGGATTTGATGCTTTATTTTTAATTTCTAATTCTGGGCTTGAACTCTAGACCTGGACACTGTCCCTGGGCTCCTTTTGCTCAAGGCTAGTACTGTGCCACTTGAGCCACAGCGCCATTTCTGGCTTTTTTTGTGATTAATTGGAGAATTGACTTTCTTACCTAGGCTGGCTTCAAACCATGATCCTCAGGTCTCAGTTTCTTGAGTAGCTAGAATTATAGGAGTGAGCCACCGATGCCCAGCTTGATATTTTTATATGTTAAGATTCAGGTCTAATTTTCTAGTAAGAACATTACACAGACTGCATCACAATCTTATCAGAAGATATAAAGCCATCTACCCAAGTAGCTAGGATGGGCTGCTTGGTTAATATGTTGATTGCCAACTAGATATCTCCTTTGTATATAAGACACAGTTCCCTTTATATTTTAATCTATGGAGTGATCATGGAAAAATTTTTTTTCAGTATTAGGGTTGAACTCAGGGTCTCATGCCTATTAGACTGGTGCTTTACCAGCTGAGTCATGCCTCCAGCTTTGCTTTTTGCTGATTATTTTGGATATAGAGTCTAGTGAACTTTTCATCCTGGGCTCTCTTTGAACTATGATCTGCCAGATTTCTGCCTCCTGAGTAGCTAGGATTTTAGGCATTAAGTCATTGGTGTCCAGCATATGTGTAGGTGCATATTATATATCTATACAATATATAAATATTATTTATATAAGTACATATGTATGTGTTTATGTCTATTATACATATATGTGTGTGTGTATATATATATATATATATATATATATACATATTTTGTTGTTGTTGGTGGTGGTGGTGGTCCTAGGACTTGAACTCTGGGCCTGGGTGCTGTCCCTCAGCTTTTCAGCTCAAGGCAAGCACTCTACCACTTGAGCCACAGTGCCACTTCCAGTTTTCTGAGTGGTTTATTGGAGATAAGAGTCTCATGGATTTTTCCTGCCCAGGCTGGCTTTGAACTGCAATCCTCAGATCTCAGCTTCCTGAGTAGCTAGGATTACAGACATGAGCCACTGGCACCTGGCTTGTATTTATATTTTTTTAAGAAAACATTTGCTGTTTTAGTCATTCTCCCTCTGAGTAGATAAAACTCACTTCAGGGGTTCTTGAAAGCTAGGCAAGAACTCTTACCACGGAGCTGCATTCCCAGTCAAACCATTTTAGCTATTGTGTGTGTGTGTGTGTTTATGTGTGTGTGTGTATTTGTGTGTATATGTGTGTGTGTGCACATGTGCGCCAGTTCGTGGGCTTGAACTTAGGGCCTGAGCGGTGTGTGTGTGTGTGTGTGTGTGTGTGTGTGTGTGTGTGTGTGTGTGTGTGTGTGTGTGTGTGTGTGTGTGTGTGTGTGTGTGTGTGTGCGCGCGCGCATGCGCCAGTTCTTAGGCTTGAACTTAGGGCCTGAGCACTGTTTCTGAGCTTAAAGGCTAGTGCTCTACTTCCATTTTTCTGATTAATCTGAGATAAAGAGAGAATCTTTCAGACTTTCCTGCCCTGGCTGGCTTTGAAATGTAGTCCTCAGATCTCAGCCTCCGGAATAGCTAGGATTTCAGGTGTGAGCCACTAGTGCCTGGCTAAAGTACTATTTATTATTTTACTTTTTATTTTTTTGGTGCTTGTCCTGGGCTTGAACTCAGGACCTAGGCACTATCTCTGCATTTTTATGCTCAAGGCTAGTGCTCTACCACTTGAACCACAGCTCTACTTCCAGCTTTTTTGGTGTTTCTAATTGGAGATAAGAGTCTTATGGACATTCCTGCCTGCGCTAACTTCGAACTGCAGTACTCAGATCTCAGCCTCTTAAACAGCTAGGATTACAGACATGAACCACCAGCATCCAGCTAAAATATTTTTAAAAGAATTCTTTTTTTTTTTTAAAGAATTCTTAAAGTAATCTTGAATTACTTATCTTTCCTTTTTAAATGTTATAAAAACAGCTATTGTTCTTTTAAACTTTTCAGTTTAAGTAATAACTCTTTTAAAGTACAAACTTAGACTATTAAGAATAAAACAAAAGCCGGTGCCGGTGGCTCACGCCTGTAATGCTAGCTATTGAGGAGGCTGAGATCTGAGGGTCACGGTTCAAAGCCAGCCTGGGCAGGAAAGTCCATGAGACTCTTATCTCCAATAAATCACTAGAAAACCAGAAGTGGTGCTGTGGCTTAAGCAGTAGAGCACTCACCTTGAGCTGAAGAGCACAGGGTTAGTGCCCAAGCCCCACGACTGACCAAAAAAAAGAATAAAACAAACGAGGGTCAGGCAGGCTGAGATTTAAGGATCATAGTTTAAAGTCAGCCTGGGTATAAAATCTGTAAGACTCTTACCTCCAATTAACCAGCAAACTGCCAGATTAGAAGTGTGGCTCATGTGGTAGAACATCAGCCTTGAGCAGAAGTGCAGGGCTCTTAATTTAAACCTCAATACTGAAATATACACAAAAATAGAGACAAATCAGAAGGATCAAGGTTTGAAGCCATCTCTGGCAAAAAGTTAGCAAGATCTCATCTCAACCAATGAACCAAGTATTGCTGTCTGAGGCCAGCTCCAGTCAAAAATGCAAACGCCTAGCAAGTATGAGATTTTGATCAACTCCAATGTTTCCAATGCATAGTGACACACACCTGTAATTCTAGCATTCAGGAGCCCATGACAAGAGAATCATAGTTTGAGGCCAACTGGGCTATATATCTGGACTCTCAAAATTAAAAAAAAAAATCTTAAAAGCAGATCTTGTATATACATTTTTCTGATTTGGGGAGGGGAAGGGAAATAATAAAATGTTAAACAAGGATACAGGTTGACCCATTGTAACAATGAGGTGTAAAAGACACTATGTTGAAAACGAACTTTACAATTTTGCAAACTGGGGGGAGGAGGGGAGGAGAGGGAAGGGAATGGTAGAGGAAAAATGGAGGGAGTAACAGTGCTCAACACAAAATGTACTCATTACCTTACTCATGTAACTGTAACCCCTCTGTATAGCATCTTTACAATTATATATATGTATACACACACACACACATATATAAAATAAGCAGAAGAAGCAAGTCAACCTATGGAAAAGTCATTAGTACAAACATTTTCTCTTAGAGTCTTTCTATAGTGAAATGCCTTTGGTCTTCCTTACCATATTGTGGCAATGTTATGTTATCTTGTTATGACTAGTCCTAAGAAATGTCTAAGAAATTTGTGCCTTTATTTAAACTTTTGAATTACTTGTTGACTTATGCCAAGTATATAAAAAGTGAGTCCCAAGTTTGAGGATTTAGTAACTCCTAGATTTCCTGATCCTGTTCTAGATTCTGTCTTTGTTTCTTGCTCTAATCAAGCTTTCATTTGGAATATTTAGAAGCCAAATTTCCCCATAACAGAGGTAATTTGAAAACCATTGCTTAAAAAATAATAAACTAGATAAGGGACATACTTTAATATATAAACTTTACATTTCAATCTGAACTGATAGTTTTGTGAGTCAGTTAAGTTACTTCATTCATTTGAGATGAAATTGTTTAGATAGTAGGTTGGCAAATAAGGTACATTTTTGGAAAAAAATCTAAAAAGTTAGAAAATAATCCCTAATTGATCATTGAATGAAGAATAGAAATCTACTGATATATCTATATATGATATATCAGTAGATATATCTATATATGATATATCAGTAGATATATCCATATATATCTACTGATATCTATATATTTATATATATATAGTCAGTCGTAGGACTTGAACTCTGGGCCTGGGCACTGTCCCTGAGCTCTTCAGCTTAAGGTGAGAGCTCTACCACTTGAGCTACAGCATCACTTCTGGTCTTCTGGTGGTTGATTGGAGATAAGAATATCACAGACTTTCCCACCCAGGCTGGCTTTGAATGGTAATCCTCAGAGCTCAGCCTCCTGAGTAGCTAGGATTACAGGTGTGAGCCACCAGGCACCTGGCCAGAAATCTACTGTTTTCAAAATAAATATCCTGCCTTCACAGAAAGTGAGAAGTACTCTAAGGCACAAAATATTTAAACTAGTTATTAGATTTTTATGATTCTTCAGACATATAAAGAAACCATATTGTGACTTCGGTTTCTGTTGTTTTTATGAGGACCACTTTCTTGTTTTAGGCTGGAGAGTAAGGACTGTTTTATGTTATTTCTGTAATAGCTAGTTTCTCTTCATACCTTAGCAATTTCACAGGGTTTCTTCTTAAAAAGGAAGCTGTGAGGGTTTTAGTCATTTCCACAGAGCAAAGTCATTTTGTTTACTTTCTGCAGGACTGCAGTGAGCTATTATGACACCTTGTGACTTGGCTTGAATTCAGACTTGGATGTCCTGGACTGATTTTATTGATACTCTCTATGATGTGTTTAGGAATGCTAGCTCTAAGAACTACAGACTTTTAGAATTGAAAATGAATATAAGGCTAGATATAGATTGAATCCAATCCTTC